AATTACCAGTACTACATGCCTACTAGAGTTTGCATTTGCAGTGCTGAAGGCAAATATGTACCAGAGGAGATCAGAGATCCCTTTTAATTTAGAAGCAAGTGTTATTAAATTAGTGGAGGTCATAGCTAGTGTCCAAGACGGCCCTAAAAATCCCCTTTCTGATATTCACATTTTTTTGTGTAGCGCTCTCCCACAATAGAGCAAACATGATGGTATGCTCTGTGTGACCAATAGAATATAGCAAACATGATGGTATATCTCTTCTGAGGCTAGAAGCTTCCTGCTCTCACTCTCTCTCAGATCAGTCACTCTGAGTGAAGTCAGTTGCCATATCTTGAGGCAGCCTTGTGGAGAGGCACATATACTCAGGAACCAAGGTCTCCAGCCAACAGCCATGTAAGTAAGGTTTATGGGAAGCAGATCCTCAGGCAAGTCTTCAGATGTTTGCAGCCCCAGCTCACAGTTTAATTATAAGCTCATGAGGAATCCTGAGCCAGAACAACTCAACTAAGCTGCTCTCAGATTCCTGACCCTCAGAAATTGTACAAGATTATAGATAAATAGTTGATGTTTCAAGTTGCTGATGTTTTGGGATAATTTGCTAGATAGCAATAGATAACTAATACAGAAGACATACATGAAATTCAGTAATCTCATTAATTTCATCAATAAGCGTTGTTTAAAAAACATTTCATATGTGTTACCCTTCTAGTATAATTAAAGTCAATCTATATTATAAAAATAATGTGTTGAAATGATTTATTAATTTTGGGGTCACCTATTGTATTTCTGTCTTATACTGTCCCCAGAGACCTTCCATCTAACTTCTTTAGGGCTTTTTAAAAAAAAAATTTATTTATTTTTGGCTGCATTGTGTCTTTGTTGCTGCACGCGGGCTTTCTCTAGTTGTGGCGAGTGGGGTCTACTCTTCGTTGCAGTGCGTGGACTTCTCATTGCGGTGGCTTCTGTTGTTGTGGAGCACAGGCTCTAGGCACGCCGGCTTCAGTAGCTGCAGCACGCGGGCTCAGTAGTTGTGGCACGTGGGTCCTTGAGTGCCCGGGCTTCAGTAGTTGTGGTGCATGTGGGATCTTCCTGGACCAGGGATTGAACCTGTGGCAAGTAGATTCTTAACCACTGCGCCACCAGGGAAGTCCCTTTATGGCTTCTTATACTACTATACTACTGTATATTTTTCTGACCCATCCTCTGTTCCCTGTTACCCACTGAAGAATTTGTCTCCGTATCAGTCTTTTAAACACTGGTGTCTGAATATATCCTTGACATACAGTACTTGTAATATTTCATCACCACCTCTTCCTGTGTCACAACATAGATGGTTATTTTAACATGACACATAAAAAATCCTGACTCATTTGTGAGAGTATCATACTTCTCATTTTCTCTGTATGTATCCCTATTTAAACTGAGATTATGTTCCCCTTTCTCTGTTCTAAAACTAGGTTTTTTGTTTGTTTGTTCGTTTTTACTATTCTAAAAAGCCAGTTTGAGACTGTTTTTTTATGTTATTTGTAACTGAAAGAAACCAAGTGATAAATGTATCCACTGTCATCAGAGTCTAGACTCCAGAAAGAAGTGTTTCCTCTTCTGCCTAAATCAAATGATCTTCCAAGCTTTGGTATCCTGTTTTCCCTCTAAAAGACCATCTTTTACCTAGATGACTGATACTGAATATCCATCCTTTTAGGAGAGGGTCATTTAAGATCCAAAGGAATGTAATCTTAGTCTCAAGTCAACTTCATCCAAATACAACAGTTCTAACTGACTTACTAACAGGAAGTCTTTTTGTTTCACAACCCAATAAGCTTACAGAGAAAGACAGTATTTTGGGAAGTACATGGTTACACAATATGCTTTACATAACATAGCTCCTGCAGTATACTTTGGTGTACTTAAAAGATGGGACATGAATGCCATCCATTAGAGTAAGTTCATGAAGCAGCCTCAAGAAAGTAAGAACAAACCAGAACCTGTGGGACCTGGTGTGAAGGACAGCCTGGATTGTTCCTTTCTCTTAGTAGGTTTGAACCAACTGGACTGGATTCTACCTGTCCAGTTTTAGGTGAAGTAGGTCTTTTAGAACCTGTCCTGGCCCAAACCTGAAAATGGTCCCAAAGTCACAAAGACTCCAGAATCTAGGAGGTAATAGGAATTTAAGAAAACACGCTTAGGTAGAGAGATAATCGAATACCAACCGAATGAGGGCATATGTGGAGTTTTTTTAAAGCTGATCGGCAAGTTTACTAAAGACTCAAATCAGTACATTTGAAATGCTGACACTGAAATGTTGACATCAGCAACTTAATCCCAATATCTTTCAAATGCCCATATTTTTGAAAGCATAGCTACATACATGTTTGACTCTCTGTGAAGGAGAGGCTTACAGAATGATAGAGAAACAAGCTGCATTAGTGCAAGTCCCCCGTCACGTCTGGGAAGGCAACTCAAAGCACGTGCATCCTAATGGCAGGTCAACAGTAACATCCTTCTTCATAAATGGGTGTAAGCATTTGTTCTCAGATACTCTTCTGTAATAAAGGTAAAAAATCTAGGAGAATCTTAAAATACTTAATGTTTTAAACAGTGATGAGATTTGAGACTATGGTAGAAACTTCTACTTGTCCCCCAGTATCTATTCTTCCTTTCTTCCTCAGTACTGAAACTGCATTTTCTAGCCTTCCTTCCAGTTTAGTGTAGCCAAGTGACTAAGTTTTTGCCAGCAGAATGAAAGCAGAAATGGTATATGCGAACTTTGGGAAAGGTTCTTTTTTTTAAAATAGTACAACCACTTTATTTATTTATTTATGGCTGTGTTGGGTCTTAGTTGTAGCATGCGGGACCTTTCCTTGAGGAGTGAGGGCTCTGTAGCTGTGGCATGTGTGAGCTTAATTTCCCCGGAGCATGTGGGATCTTAGTTTCCTGACCAGGGATCAAACCTTCGTCCCCTGCATTGGCAGGTGGATTCTTAACCACTGGACCACCAGGGAAGTCCAGGGAAAGGTTCTTAAAGAGAGGGCATGTTCCCTTTGTCCTCTCACCTTCTGGTTGGAATGCAAGTATAATGGCTAGAGCTCCAGCAGCTCTCTTAGACCATGAAGTGACATTGGGAATGGAGGCTGATATCTTCCAAATACAAGTATATTTGAAAGCATAAATAAATACATGTGTGACTTTCTTGGCTGCAACAAGGATGCTGCATCTGTCTCCATGAAGTGCCCGGCCAGCTCTAGGCTAACTTTGGACTTCTAAAACTTGAGAGGGAAATACCAATTTTTGTTTAAGCCACTCTTATTTTCTGGTTGTTTTCCCCTGCTTCATGCAGCCAAACCTAACCCTAATACAATAATCTAAAAAGAAGGGCTTCCCTGGTGGCACAGTGGCTGAGAGTCCGCCTGCTGATGCAGGGGATGCAGGTTTGTGCCCCGGTCCGGGAAGATCCCACATGCCACGGAGTGGCTAGGCCGTGAGCCATAGCCACTGAGCCTGCACGTCTGGAGCCTATGCTCCGCAAGAAGATAGATTTTGAAACCTTTTATTTATTTACTTACTTTTTGGCCACACTGTGGCCTGTGGGACCCTAGTTCCCCGACCAGGGATCGAATCTGCATCCCCCACAGTGGAAGCACAGAGTTCCAACCTCTGGACAGCCAGGGAAGTCCCTAAAAACTTATTTTAAAAAGTCAACTTTCATAGGTCAGCAATTTAACTAATTTTAAGTTTGCACATATTTTAAAAGTAATTTATTCAACAAATATTTATTGGGCACCTAGATCCTAGCACATGTTATCAGGATGATAGGTAATGTAACTGCAAGTGTATATAAAATATAAAAGATAGAAAAATAGTATCCATGAAAATGAGAACTGAGAGATAGTGGAAAAAATATCAAAAACTAGGGGTTGTTCCTCTTACACGTATAAGAGTTATAGGAGTAACAGGAGTAGAAGAGGATGGCCTTTTGTGATAACTTGGGACACAAAACCTTTTATTTTATTATACTTCAGGTAAAAGCTTTTTTAGATTTCTATTGATAATAACTGGACTTACACAATGCCTTTCCCCCAAGCAACTAAATGACATTTTATATTCCGTAGGAAATTTAGACAGACGGGGCTTGCAAAGGCTGTTGAAGTTACATTGAAAATTCAAGATGTAGCGTCTTTAAAGGATACAGTAGGAAGAGACCTGACAATAAGAAAAACAAAAATCTGGTGGATGGCCGGGAAAAGCTTCAGGACAGAATCAGAAGACTAGTTAGTTGTGTTGGTAACCTCGGGTTACAGTACTAGTTGGTAGCCTTGGACAAGTAACTTCACCTTTCTAGGCCTCCATTTCTGAGTGGCGGGGATTAGAAAAGGACATCTTTACAGACCTTCAGTTCCTGAGAACCCTCTTGGAGCACGTGCCCTACACTGGGCAGCTGGTGGTGAACGCCGCTGGGCCTATAGGCAAAGGGAGCCCCTGCCCCTGGGTCTTGGGCTCCCCCTGCACGTGATCTCACGGATGCTGCACTTGAAGTCCCTGAGCAGGAACGCAGCTGTGCTGCCATCCAGAAGACAACATGAGTGGCCAGGTATACGCGTCCGCTAATTTACAGACGCCAAACCTGGCCGGCAGCTCCCGGAGAGCCGGCAAAACCCGGGAGTCCTCGCACCGCCCCGTGGCGTTCTCGCCCCGCCCCTAGAGCCCCGCCCCGCCCCGGCCGGCCACTTACTGCGCGCGGATTGGCTGCTGCGGTGCGCACGGCGCCGCGCCCCGCCCCGCCGGCGCCCTCGCCGGCGGACTGCTACCGGCTCCCGGGGGCTGAGGTGGAGCCGAGGACCCCGGCTCTGCTGCGGCTTAGCCGCCTCCTCCTCTGCGCTCGCGCCTGGTGTCGGCTTGGACGTCGGGGAAGCCGGGTGAGTGCGGGAGGCCGGTTTGGGGGCTTGCGAGGGGCTGGCGCTTGCCGCCCGCGCGTAGGAAGGCACCCCCGGCTCGTCCGGCCCGGCCTGCGAGGTGCGGCGATGCCCGGCCCGGCCTCTCCGGTGAGAGGCGCCGCCGGGCGGAGCGGGTCCGCGGGGCGTCCGGGCGTTTTGCGGGGCGGGGGCGCCGCCGCCCCCTCCGCACCAGCCCGCGTCCCCTCGGGCGAGCGTGGCTGGCGCTCGGCCGGGGCGGGCCGCATCGCCACGTTGTCTCACCATCGAATTGCTTCCCTGGAAGGTCTGGAAAGGTTTCCGTCTCGAGCCTGTCAGCTTCCCGGGGCGAGGGGCGGTGGGGAGACGATGTGCGGCCCGCACGGGGCGTCAGGGGGCCACTCAGGTGCTTCGTCGCCCCTCCCGTTTGCTCTGAACCATGGCTGGGAATGTTTTCAGTGTTCGGCGCTCTTTTCCGAGTCTCTCCGTAGGAGAGTCAGGTACAGAGGTGTGAAATGGAAATGGAAGAGGGTCAACCTTCTTTCGCGTATTAATCATAAAGTGTTCGTGCCCTTTTAGATAAAGAGCAGCAGAGAGTTGCCCATGTAGCAAAGGTAGTTGTGCTGGGGAAGACCATTTTGGTTTTTAACCAATAAATTGGCTTCCGAGTTAATCAATGGAAGGTGCTTAGTTTGAAAGGTAAATATATGACCTTTTGAAGCCCAAGCAGTGCTGAGATCGACTGTGCTCGCTCCCTCCCCGCTGCTGGCGCCGCGTGTGTGTGTGTGTGTGTGTGTGTGTGTGTGTGTTGGGATTTCTCTTCGGAGTGTCCCACCTCTTCTCTCAAACTGTTCACCTACCTGCGCTATAAATCCCTTTCTTTAACAATTACCAAGCCTCTTACTCCCAGGATTGTCACATTTCTTTTCCATCATCTTCAGACAAACATAGTTTTCAGACGCAGACATTTTTTTGCCGATAATAGTGTTGCAAGCCTCTTCGTCCTTAAAATGAACATCAAAAGTTATCTTGAATATCGACCCGACAGGAAAAGCTGGGTTAATGAGAGCACGGAGAGGATGCAGTGTTCCTCTTCCGGAGACACGCCTTCCCCTCCCCCATCCTCCTTGGCCCATTACTGGCTGGTCATTTCTGAATTCACTTCTGGAGTCCGAGGTAAAGAATTTATCTTATTAGTTTATCCTTATCTGCCCTTTTTAAATGATTACGGTAATATATCCAGGTTGTAAACTCTTTTTGTAATGTTACAGAATAATATCAAGTAAAAATGGAAACAGCACAGAAGTATATCAAGTGAAAAGTTAGAATTCCTTGTTTCTTTACTTTGCATCCTGAATTCCAGTCCCTAGGAGGGGTTAGTACCATGATACTATTGGGCAACTGACTTAATATAAGGACACGTCTCCATATCAGTGTGCACCTACCTCATTTTTAAAGTGCTGTACAGTACGCAGCTGTTTAGATGTACTCTAATATATTTTATTGGTCCCTTAATGATGGACGTTTGGTTGTTTCTGGGTTTTAGCCATTAAAAGACTTACTGCAAGAAAATCTTTTGGGCATTGTTGGATAAGTTTCAGGTAGTGCTCTTTTTACCAGGAATCTTTTTTTGTAACTTGAAGGATTTTATAATTTAAAAGCAGTAGTTAATTTGCTTGATTTAAATGCATTTCTTAGAATCTGTATGGCTTTTTATATTTAGAGACTGGATCAAAAAAATTTTGAGGACCAGGTTAAATAATGGTTAATTTATTAACCTTGTTACCACTTAATGGTGTTGACTTTAAGGTTATATTGACTCATTTGATTAGCTTGGCAGGAATGAATAGAGAAGGCCTTAAGGAAGAGAAAATTTGAACAGAGGCCGTGTAATACCCTCCTGTGGTAATCCCCTTGAATATCCAACAGTAACAGATGTTCTTTTGTTGCAAAATGTATCTCAGGTACCAAAAAACGTGTACAGACTATATATAAATATATAGTTTAAATAATATTATTGCAATGATCAACATTGTATCTACAACCAAATTAAGAAATGAAACATTTACATCTTTCTTCCAGAGGTGGCCTCTACCCTGATTTTTTAAATTAATCTTTTTCTTGCTTTCATTTTGTTTTGTTTTTTGGCCATGCTGCGCAGCTTGTGGGACTTTAGCTCCCCGATCAGGGATCGAACCCGGGACCTTGGTACTGAAAGCGCCGAGTCCCAACCACTGGACCGCCAGGGAATTCCAGTCTTTTCCCTTGCTTTTTAAAATAAGCCTTACAGGGCTTGCATGCTGGCGCAGTGGTTAAGAATCTGCCTGCCAGTGCAGGGGACACGGGTTCGAGCCCTGGTCCAGGAAGACCCCATATGTCGCGGAGCAGCTAAGCCTGTGCACCACAATTACTGAGCCTGCTCTCTAGAGCCCGCAAGCCACAACTACTGAGCCTGTACTCTAGAGCCTGCGAGCCACGACTACTGAGCCCACGTGCCACAACTACTGAAGCCCGTGCGCCTAAAGCCTGTGCTCCGCAACAAGAGAAGCCACCGCAGTGAGAAGCCCACGTACCACAACGAAGAGTAGCCCCCGCTCACTGCAACTAGAGAAAGCCCGAGAGCAACAATAAAGACCCAACGCGGCGAAAAAGAAAATAAATAAATTTTAAATAAGCTTTACACATAAATAAATAAATATACACATGTACATATATGCACATGTATATAAATATTTACAAATAAACAGTATATTTAGTTTTGAGTGAAGTGTTAAAAACAAAACAAAATTCTCATAGCATGTTTCAAAGTTTTATAGTTATTGCGAGTGCCACAAAGAACTGTTTTTTGTTTTTTTTTGGCTGCACTGGACCTTCATTGCAGTGCACAGGGCTCTTCGTTTAGGCTTTCTCACTAGTTGCCGTGCAGGCTTAGTTGCCCTGCGGCATGTGGGATCTTAGTTCCCCAGTCAGGATCGAACCTGAGTCCCCTGCATTGGAAGGTGGGTTCTTAACCACTAGACCACCAGGGAAGTCCCACAAAGAACTGGTTTTAAGAGGATTTAAGAAATAGATACCTGTGTAGTCCATAGGGAAAGGAATGTCTCAATAAAATTGCTGAGTTAGATATAATTGGTTAATGTTCCAGAGGGCAACAAAATCATAATACCTTGTGATTAATCTACCAGACTATAAAATCATAACACCTTATTAGTTTCTGCAGTTAAACTGAAACCTTACAGGACTGTAAACTGTGTCTTTATTAACAGTGGATTGTTCATTAAATAAACTGTGATAACAAAGTTATTTTCCTCAGAGCACAGATGAGGTCCAAACAGGCTTATTAGAAAATGCTAGTGCTTTCTCAATTTGAGATTAAAAATTTGTTCCATAATTGTAAGCACAAACCTGACTGTGTAAGGAAAGGACAATATTGTCACTTTTAGATGAAAGCTTCCAGGAAAGATGAGCAGGACGGAATGGTTTCAGCTTCCCTGTTTCCCTGACAGGGGCCCTTTCTCAGGAGGTCAGTGGGCAGTGTTACGAGGGAGTCTTGGATACGGTGTTCACTCCAGTCAGGGCATCAGAGGGCTCTAGTGTGCACCAAATACTGGAAAGATGGCAGAAATACAGTCTGAGGGAGTGGGCTGCTCACCGTGGCCTGCATGCAGTGATCAGTGTAGGTCAAAGTAGAACCTTCTGTGAGGGAAGTGAACATCCTTTGCTGATGCAGCCTGCAGGGTTCAGAAGGAGAGCAGGAACTGCACCAGCATATGATCAGGATCAAGCCAAGCACAGCTGAGTACAGATAGGAATCTGGGTCAGGTTCATGGGGCATTCAGTCCTCAGGTTAAAAACCTGGATAGGGACTGGGTCCCTGGTGGTCCAGTGGTTAAGACTCTGCACTTACCAGCCTAAATGTCCATCGACAGATGAATAGATAAAGAAGATGTGGCACATATATACAATGGAATACTATTCAACCATAAAAAGAAACGAAACTGAGTTATTTGTAGTGAGGTGGATGGACCTAGAGTCTGTCATACAGAGCGAAGTGAGTCAGAAAGAGAAAAACAAATACCGTATGCTCACACATATATATGGAATCTAAAAAAAAAAAAAACCGGTACTGATGAACCTAGTGGCAGGGCAGGAATAAAGACTTAGACATAGAGGACATGGAAGTGGGGTGGCGGGAGAGTAGCATGGACATATATACACTACCAAATGTAAAATAACTAGTGGGAAGCAGCCGCATAGCACAGGGAGATCAGCTCAGTGCTTTGCGACGACCTAGAGGGGTGAGATGGAAGGGTGGGAGGGAGGCTCAAGAGGGAGGGGATATGGGGATATATGTATGCATATGGCTGATTCACTTTGCTGTACAACAGAAACTAGCACGGTATTGTGAGGCAATTATACTCCAATAAAGATGTATTAAAAAAAAAAAAAAAGACTGCACTTCCACTGCAGGGGCCACGGGTTTGATCCCTGGTTGGGGAACTAAGATCCTGCATGCCATAAATAAATAAAAACTTAAAAAAAAAAAAAAAAAAGCTGGCATAGTACCTGGTTACACTGCTTCAGTCTGGCCTGGTTGTCCTCCTCGTCTGGGGCATAGCTGGATCCTCTTTAGCTCTCCTGTGTGGGGCTCTTTCCTGTATTCTCTTTCGTTGATTTACTCTCTCCAGTGGCACTCAAACTCCAGTAGCTTCTTGACAAGAAGAGTTACGTTTTCTGGGAGACGTTGCCTGTCTGAATATGTTTTGATTCTATCCTCATACTTGACTGATATTTTGGCTGGTAATAGAATTTTAGTTGGAAGTAATTTTCTTTCAGAATTTTGAAGTAATTGGTCCATTGTCATCTTGCTTCTCGTGTTGCTGAGAATTCCAAAGTACTATGATTCCTGATCCTTTGTATTTGACCTGTTTTTTTTTAATTAATTTTTTTTGGCGTATAATTGCTTTACAATGTTGTGTTAGTTTCTGCTATTTGTTTTTGTTTTGTTTTGTTTTTAATTTCTGCAGACTAATTTCTGCTTTGACTCCAGTGGTTTGAAATTTAAAATGGCCTGTCTTAGCGTGGGTCTATTTTCATCCATTAGGTTGAGTATCTGATGGGCCCTTTAAATCTGGAAATACAGTACTTTCTATTCTGGAGAGATTTTCCTGAATATTTTGTTATTTTTCTCCCTTGTATTCTCTATAGTGTCTCCTGAAACACCTCTTATTTAGATGTGAACCTTTTAAAGGTCTTCTAATTTTCTTACCTGTTTTCTTCTGTTTTCCACCTACTTACTGCTAGATTTTGGGGGACTGGGGGTTGGGGGCACCACGTGGCTTGTGAGGTCTTAGTTCCCCAACCAGGGATCAAACCCACGCCCTCGGCAATAAAGGAGTGGAGTCTTAACCACTGGACCACCGGGGAATTCTCACTGCTAGATTTTCTTAACTTTTATTTCTCAACCTTTGTATTTGGATTAAAAAAAATTCCACAGTTATGTTTTTATTTTTCAAAGCTATTTTTTAGTCTCTGAATGTTTCTTATGATAGCATCCTATTCTTGCTTTAAAATGCAATATGTTCTCTTATCTCTGAGGTTGTAGTGATTTTGTTTTCTTTCTCTGCATAGCTTTCCAGATTCTTATCTGGAAGGGAAGGATCTGGCTGCTGGTCTTCTGCACCAGAACAGAGGAACAGAGGTCCCTTCTGTCCAGTTTTCAGTATGATACCTGCATCTTCTGTTGTGCCTGGTATCCCCCACTCCAGAACACAAGACATAGGGGGGAAAAAGCTTCAGATTTCTGCCAGGATATGGAAGAAGCAGTTGCCAGTACCATGACGAGAAAAGGGACAGGTTCTGGGATCTGACTTTTCTTCCTGCTTCCTCCCAAGTTGTCACTGTGTTGGCTCTCAGCTTTCCCCACCACTGGCTTGGGAATTCGGCTTTCTTGGGTGTGCTAAGTCAGTTACCATGTCCATCTGCTTTCCAGCTTTCAAAATTTTATTGCTATTGTGTCATCTTCTGTTCTCCCTATCGTTAGGAGTTTATGACTTTTTAAAAACTCCTTTTATTGATTGCAGTTTTCGTGAAGTTTCAAGAGGGAGCAGAATGAGGTGCTATGTACATCTGCCATCATCACCCAGAGATAGTAATCGTTTTTCTCTTCCAAATAG